GTTATCAAATGAACATCGGGCAATGAGAATACTGCTACCTTGACGCAAGTAGCTATACAACGATATTTTGGCTTTCCAATACAATATGGTATATAGCAATCACTTATTAGAAAATGGACGCAGAAAGTCAAAGACATAAAGGTTGGTGTACATCTTCACAATATTCGACGTATTTTCATTAAATGCCTGTGATTTCTACTCAGATTTCTAAAATCTCATTATTACAAATCTTTAAATATATCCGTACAGAATTTATATTAAAGCCAAAAGATCATTTCACTACATCGAGTCTACTAACAAGATTCCAGCAACCGCAGCGAGACTACTTTGAAGAAGAAACACTGACTAGCGAACAGGGCGTTATATTCTTGTCTTGTAACACTTTTTACTTTAAAATGTCACTCTCGAAATTTTCGGACATTTTTATACACTTGCAACATCCAGCAGGAGACATTGGAGACCCTATAAAATATATTGTATACAAGTATATATAGATGAACAGCCGAGTCGATTTAGCCATGTCCGGATGTCTGTATTAGCGAATTAGTCCCTTAGTTTTTAAGTTATCGATCTGAAATTTTTGTCCACATCCTTTTCTCCCGAAGAAACTGCTCATTTGTCGGAATCACTACAGCATATTGCTGACCTATAAAGTAAACGATCAGAGACAAAGGAAAGCTTTGAACAAGATATTTTTATAAAATTTGGCATGTATTATTGTCTAAAACAATGGTGCAATCTGTGGAGAAGTTTTTCAGATTGGACTACTATAGCATATAGCTGCCATACAAATTGACCGATAAAAATTCAGTGATTAAATAAAGTTCTTATAAGATATCGTTGGTGTTTGTGATAGGTATTATAGCTTCAGTGCAACCGAATTTAACATTTTTTCTTGTTGTATATTAACTTTACAAGTATCCCAAACAGACTTTTATTAAAAGACTATTTATAAAAACAGCATCCCCATTCAATAATGAGATATCATAAGTATATCAAGTTTCATCAAAAAACCTCAATTTTGACGTTCTACAAAAAGGCCAAATATGATCGGTATGTCAACTCGCTCAAAAGTTATTCGACAACCAAAACACCCCCTCGTGGACCCAACACTGATAACATTGTTGAAAGTATTTAAAAGATTAGAAATGTTTATTAATTTAATAAGATTAATGACTTATATTACTGTTTGGTATTTGAAAGTAACTAGACTTTTATCAGGATCAGAGGTAATATAGGTAATAAATTATTACTCAGAAACTAAGAGGCATTATCGTCATCAGTATTTAAGTGCAAGCAAACACCCTCTCAAAGTATCTAATTGTAACGAAAGCGATAATTTCTCTACTACTTTACTAAGCTCTCATATATGCAAGAAAACTGTATTCAAGCTCCCCCCTTTTACCTCTCCACACCAAGAATAATCACGTAATTATCCCATTTACGACTGGGTAGCTACAGCTAGTACATATGCGCATATGTAACGGTCACCGGAAGTGGACTGTGACAATGACAATGTGTCGTAAGTTGCGCCATAAATGCTATAAAATAACAGTGCGCACCGTGACCAAACTGAATGGCATGCCACAAAACACACACACGCCCAACAATAAACTTCCACGCATACATACATATATATATGCGCCATACCATACAATAAAAGTGAAGACCCGAGCTCAGACAAGCTCACAGTTAAAATAAATAAAAAGGCACGCAGACAAAAGTAAAAAGCGCAACAGGAGTCACACTCGGACACAAAATCAATGCGCATGAAGTGAGAGATGGTGTCATCGATGTGAAACTTTCCACAATCTTTGCACAATCGCATGTTGTCGTTGTTATTTTTGCTTTATACTACCAACATACGTAAGCGTGTTTGTTGACAGCGTAGCCGTTGCCGCCTTTTATTTCAACAGCGACAATGCTTTTAATAGTTTTCGTTTTTTTCATTACACATTACATACACACTCACATGCATACATGCATACATGTGTTGGTTTCATTGTTGTCTGTTGCCCTATTTTGCGCATATTGTACTCGCCCACATCCTGCTTCAAGCACCACACAACCACACACGACAACCATAAAAAGGCACTGTGACAGTCTGACCGTCCAGAAGACATAAAGACAGCACGTGGCGCCCAAAAGCTATGAAATTGAGCGCTTCTCACAGCGGCCGGAGCCCTTTCACTGGCGCGCAGACTATGTTATGCTAGTCTACAGCTGTGTGCGGTGCGTTGTTGGTCTAGGATTGTCAGTGGTTGGCTCGGTTATGTTCTATTCCATTTACTATTCACACTACTCCTCCGCCGCCTCCTCCGGCAGCAAGTGTCTATGTATGCTTAGTTTCCATTTGTATGCATTGTTTTCTCAATGCCCACATGACGAGAAAACACATTTGCCCACCCACCCGTGATTCTATGTAAATTTATAACATGTATCTGTAGCATTTACTCAATCTTCGATGCCTATAACACAGCTCAGATTACTCAAAGTCGCACCTTTCCTTACTCCGGTTGCTTGCCGTTCGTTTTCCGATTCGATCATCACCAATAGTTAAATAATTTATACAGCAACAAAATATTATTCCAGCTTAGACCATTGTTTTGCATAAATATTATTTAACAACACAAGAAATACATACACACACACATATGCACTCAATAGTTTTCCAGGTTTTTCTTATTACTAAACAATCATTTTGGAAATTTTGTCAGGTGTACAAGTTTATTGAATTAAATTTGATTGAATTGTTATTTGCATTGAAACTCTTCGTTTCTCGTGCAACATATATAATATATTGTGTAATCGAAATCTCCTACTTTGTTCGATAGTTTGGGCTTCTCGTAGGCACATGTTTGACCCTCACCGATTACAATATACTTGGAAGTGACTTCTCTTAGGAATATATCATATATATACTTGAATTATTATATATGACAGACTGTGCATTAGTCCATAGCTCAGAAGTTTTTTATGTTGTGTTTTTGTGATTCTGAGTATGATGCACTCATTAGTGAACATTCTAATAATGAATCTCTCGATTGCTCTGTCTTCAGTGTAAATAAAAAAAACCGAACGAAGACAAAACCTTTGATGGGAAAGAAGAGAAATTGTGGATTAAGTAAAAGTTGTGTAAAAGCGGAATAGAAATTCCGATATAGTCAAATATATATACGAGATATCAGTTATAATAAAATCGTTCTCTCTACAAATTAGATCAAGAGCACTATGGTTCTGCTTATGAAAAGCTGATCGATTAGTAATGCAACTCTGTTTTCCCCGCAAAGTAATTAAAGACCTCGTTGTATTAACTCCCGAGATATAACCTATGAGGTCAACTAGAGAATTGTTTTTAATATTCTTACATCGATGAAAAATATACCTTTTCAAAAAAATTTTTTTTTTATTAATTTGTTCGAAGTTTAAAATTTTCTCAGAGCGCAAAATCACTTAATTTTTCCTATTGGATGTGTACCAAAAATCTAGGTTCTTTCTATACACAAGTAACTGAAGAACAAAGCAGGGTTAATCAAATGAGTTTAAAGATGTTTAGAGTATTTGGGGCTTTGTATGTTCGAACACACAAACAAGTAAAATCTTAAAAAAGAGTGTTGGATTAACTTTCAGCTTAAAAATATTTTTCTTCCTGAATATTCTACATATATCTAGTAACATCGAAGATTAAAATTAAAGGCAAACACGAAAGCGATGGAACTAGTTCAAAATCCAACATAAACTTCACTTTTCAAAACTAATCCGCTTCTCTATCGGGTATGCATGAAAGTGAGCTTAATTAATAGACTTCGAATGGGGATTTCTATTGAGAAGCGCCACACACAAGCACAGTGCCGAACACATAAAGAGCCAATTCACATCACGATACATGTCAGAATGAGCAAACAAACGGGAAAATGAGTGCTCAAATTGGCTTCACATGCCGACAACCCATTCGGTTATGAAGAAAACTTTCACAAAAAATCTACTAAAATAACAAATAAAAATTATGTGAGTGTATGTGCATATGTAAAAGATAGAAGCAAAAAGTGAATGTGGGAAAACCCCCAAAACAAATAGTAGAAATTCGGACGGAATTTGTGGTGGAAAATCCCGTTTTTGGTGTGATGGTGAATATCTAAAAGAATTACATAGAGCCGCTCGGCTGGATGTGTGCAGTTTTTGTGTCGGTTGTGTGCTTTTGGCACCGCAAATGTTGTTAAACTCAGCGAACACTTGTACAACGGGTTGGAAAACATATGTTTGAAAGTGAAAAATGGCACATGAGGGCAGATTTCAACTAATGTGATAAGCCAATAAACACGTTTTATGGGTTAGAAATGTCACACCAGGAAAAATGTGTCACTTACGCTTAAAATATATGTAACTTTTTTTTCTCTTTTTTCTTTTGTTTTTTTTTCTCAAAGCTGCCACTAAAATTGAAGGATCAAGTAAAGTCATGTTCGGCTTCTGTACGAAATTTGTCTTCCCCAAGTTGGTACTATACGAAATGTTACTTTTTATAATTACGTTACAGTTTTATACACATTCCAACGGCATATTTGAAAGATCATAAGACACTCTCGCAAATATCTACAAATATTTCATGGAAACTCTTCAACTTTTTCCACATTATACAATTCAGTTCATCATATGTTTATAACGGCATCTATTAAAACTTGGCTTGTTTTTAAATGCAGAGTTCTTTAAAATAAAAAAATTTGTATTCGAAAACTCTGGTGCCTCTTTGTTATACCCTTCAAAATTTTGAAATTATATTATGACTGTTTTTCGTAGTTTTGTAACAAATCAGATAGCTTTCATACATACGACTTGTTATTATTTTTTAAAATTTTACTGTGCCAGCCTGTTTGATTTATACGCGTTGTTTGTTCGATTCGCCAATAGTAAAAGTTACCAAATCAAATACAGCAATAGTTTCAATACAACTGATCTTACAAATATGACAACTGCTATATCTTCTGAAATTAAAAAACTAAGAATTGGAATTCTAGAATATTTTTATTATAAAAAAGAGAAAATTTACTATCAACCATTTTGAAAGCAGCTTTAACAAATATATAGATATATCAAAGAACCGATTGTACGAAATTAAGGCTGTTATGTCCTCTATTCTCTCATCCCTCAAGGGTATTCAGCGTAGCCGAAGTCTAGCATTGTTCTTCACTGTTCGCGCACTGCTTATTTTGGTGCAGATTTCCATATTAATTGTAGACGTCTGTAGGTATGCGATTAACAAGTTGGATTTCCTTTACCAGATTCGTTGCCTACTTCAAGGCTGCGCCGAAATTTCTGCAACAGTTTGACAAGTTAAAACGACGTTCATTCTCACGATGAGCACGCAGAAAGCCACTTTGTTGTGACTTTCGTAAGTTTTTTTTTGAAATTCATCATTTATGTTTTGGTTTTAAGTGCGGCCCATGCCGCTGTCTTTACGAAAAGTCAACGAATGAGTTAAGTTGAGGCCACTTGCCAGTCAATACGCAAGGACATGATATCCGGTGACTTTGCCTTTACAGCTGAGCTGCTTAAATACAATCCATCCGGGCTTTTCGCTGCGCGCTGCTACCTTTGTTGGCAACCTGTTCGCTTGGCCACTTGGCTATTTATTGCCTGCTGTGCTGTTCGATTGCTGATAAGGGTCGACACTCGCAACGGAAACGAAACACTCGGAAACGGAAATGAATCGAAAGTGTAAATAGAATTGGTAATACACGACTACATAGAACGGATATGTCAATGTGTGTTCGTGCATACGAGTATACGAGTCAAATGTAAGTGCATAAGTAAGTGCGTAAAGAAGTGTTGAAGAGTTTTTTCCAATAAAAAGACAGAGTCCAAAAACATTAGAGTTGAGTTAGAGTTTTTGGTAGAGGGGTGTATAAAGTCTAATAGGTTCACAGTAGAGACAAATAATTAAGACGACGTGGTTCAAGAATTAGTTTCAGAATAGAGATTAACATAGTTCATTAGAGCTTTAAGAGTTTCTACTACTCATAATAGAACAGTTGAAGAGAGAAAATGCTACGCCAAAAAATAAATAGGTTATATAGTGACAGAGCAAATTAGTTGACAATTTTTTTAGACTTACTAATTTCACAAGCAAATTAAGCGCACTTACCTGCCTGCGTCACCAACGAGCAATTGCGTGTACGCGATGTGTATGAGTGGGCGAGGCGAGAGTCCTTTCAGTGTAAACGTTGGAAAACAACACGTGTGTTAGTTAGCTTTCTAGCACTTCTTATGAAAGCTAAGCGTCAGCGTTAAATCCACTACTGCTGCTGCTTGCCTGGCTGCCGCCCAGCTGGCGTGTTTGTGGTGGGTTTCGCACTGCTTTATGTCACCGTTGTGCCGACTCTTACACTTGCAAGTATTGGCAGCGACAAATGTTGTCGCACGGCTGCCGACGACTGACGAGTCGTGCCCTAAACCGGCTAGTTGGTCCGTCAGTGAGGCGGTCGATGCGCTTGACGTGCCGACAGGCGGCCCTGCTACTCTGAAGGGCGACAGCAATTATGACGAAATGCTTTGGGTCGGTGTTTGACTACTTGGCTGCTTGACTGCTTGACTGGGCGCGACAGTTTCGCAAGTCTCTTCTCACTTTGCCAGGTGGGCTGAATGATTGAGTGGTCGCTTGAGTTGTTCGGCGTCGTTACATATGCTTGGTTAAAAATGTTCGTATGCATATAATGTACAATTGTACTTGTCTAGGTAACTGTATGTAAGTAAGTAGAACTATTGTGAGCGCAGGTAACGTGTTGAAACTGTCAGCTTGTGCAACAACAAACAAACATGAAAAGTAGAAAAATAGAAAAATCGCTGCCGTCATATACCACGTAATTATTTGACGACTACAATTTTTCGCTTTCACCTACTTATTTCACATACACACACACCAACGAACGGGCGCGCGCTAATAAAACTTATCCTTGAAGCAATATGCTATGCATACTCTTACATTTATTGTAGTCTACAATTAAATTAATTCAGTACACGCACCTCATTTGCTCTGGCGGCAGCGTATTGGTGCAAATGAACTTTTGTGGCCGCGTAGTCATTAAGCGGGGCATACGTTGAGGCATGCCAATGAGACGCCTTCGAATGCCTATTGAGGCATATTCACTGCCAATGCACGTTGACAATCAAGCAACAGGATCTTTGCACACATACGCACACTAGCATATGCAGTACATAGCTGGCCGCCCTCTTGTTGCGCCACTGCTGTGGCAAAGTTCAATTTTCACCTCACTTGACGCGTATGTCGTTTGCCAAGGTGTGTTAGGTGTGTGAGGTGGTCTTTCTGCTCGGTTTGCTTGTTTTTGCTTTCGTGGCTAGTTGCCTGCCTTGTGCACAGGTGCTTTTGTATTGTTGTTGTTCTGTGGCAGTTAATCAACCTAATATTTCGCTTGCCACATCATAGGCAAGTCAGAAATCAGTCGTCAGTAGCGTGTGTTAATTACTTCGTAACACGCAAACACTGCACAAAGACACGCACGTTGTTACACCTATGAATTGATTTGTGAATTTTCGTTTATTTTAATACACTTTTTATATTTAGCGTGTGCTTTGCATGCACATTTGTAACGCGAAAGTCAACGCTTCGTCGCCTGATGCTGCTGCTATTGCGGTACACAAACTCACACTCACACACCCTGCCGCCTGTGGACTTACACCTCGATAAACCTGCTGTACGTGTGCACTTGTGTGTGTATGTGCATTGAAAATACACTCACTGAAACTCTCCCATTCGTACTCGGAGTCATCTCACTTCACGCTCTGCGTATTTTTGTACGGAACTCACTTGTTCACGACGCTTTCTATTGCCATACGTTTGGTATTATTTAGTGTTGTTGTTGCACTTTCTTGTTTCCTGCGCGTAGTTGTTGCTATCATTTGATAGCTTTTCGTTAGATTTTAACTTTTTTCACAAACACTTCACGTTAATTTCCATCAAATTGTTTTCGTCACTTTCAACAAGTCTGTCTGTCAAGCAATTTAATTATTATGAATATTTATTCACAAAACAAATGCGAAATTTGGTTGACAATATGAAACCCGCATGAATCCTGCAGCACCTTCAGTATTCGAACTAAATGCTGCAGCTGTTACTTTTTCCACTATGCTCACCAATCCAACGACAACACATTCGTATTTACCTTTGTATTCCCTGGCATATTATTGTTATTTTCCTCTGGCATTTGGCTCTCATGTGGTGAATATAAATTCACCTCATTCAACTGGCGAGCGTAAGCTTTGAAATGTCCGAATATTTTGCGTGTTTTCGTGCTAAGGAAGATTCTCAGCGGTTGCGCACTTTTCTCCGAAGTCGTAATCTTATAGCAATAGCACTGAAAGAAAGAATTTTTTGGAAGAAAAACTTAAGAAAAGTGACAATGTATAATATCTCAAGTGAAATTTGTTCTCGAAAATAGTCAAATCCTTTAATTAGAGTTTTGATCTATGAAAAGATTTTGGCCTGCAATTCTACATTTCACCAAGTATGCTGTATATTTAAAACTGTTCCATTTTTTCAAAAATGTGTTAATACAAGCAAATTGTAAACTCTTTCAAAATGAATGGTAGAGACCTAACACTTGTTAGACTCCAAAGACCCTTAGAAAAAATTTCGAGGATTTGCAAAACGATTTTTAATTACCAAAGCTTATAGGTAGTGTCGTAAAATTAGAAAAATCGACATATTAAAGGATCTCACTGAGACAGAGCCACTGCCAATGTATTTATGAAAGAAGTTTACAACTCAATGCATGATGGTAATCAAAGACCTACTTAACAAAAGTTGTCATCGAAGCCATCTCAGGAGTCTACTATATTTTAATTAATATCTCAAAATACTTAGAGTCGTGGGATAGAAAAAATTCCGTTATTCATTTACAATTTGGAATATTACGTTTTGTGAGTCGAAAAATTAAACATTTCAAATTTTTTATAATTAGTGTCATAAGTTGATGACAACGGTCACTTCACAAAATATACAACTCATATTTTTTTAGTCATAACAATACTTATCAGCTTCCACGCAGCTAACTCACCACAGTGTACGAAGCGGCTTACTGAGAGTCGCTAAAAAATCGGAGCACAGCTGGGCAATGTGAGAGCGCGATGTGTTTTTGCTCTTTGCCATTTATGAAAATCACATGGTCTGTGCGGGTGACGCGCTATGGAAAACTGTTGCACAAACAGCAGTAACATAATTTAGCCTGGCAGTCAGCCTTATCGCTTTCACTTGTAGAGCGTTTCGATGAACTCATATATTAGTGACCTGTAGGAATAGTTTGAACTAATGAAACAATGATTTATTGTCATATAAACAACATTTGGATAATTTAAATAGGAAATGGTTTTGAGATAATACTGAAAATAGTTAAAACTATATATACTCGTATGTATGCTAGTTACGAATACATGTACATGAGGTATAAGTATAATAAATATTTATTTTTATTAGTTGACAGGGGTTAAATTCCATAGCTTGAATAGAGATTTTGATTTCTTTATAAGCCATCCTGAAAGTTCCAGAAAAGGTTTATTTTTATTATAAAACCATATTTGAATAAGAATGAGTTTTAAAATATGTATCTTATCCAGAAGGAAGCAAAATGTTGAAAAAGAGTTCAATAGTCCTCTCATAATATCATAGGAATTTAAAAATATTCTAATTTAAGTTGGAAGTTCTTAAAACCAGTTTATAATTCACCGCAGATTTCGTGATTGGAAAAAGTAATCATTGGTATACCCAATCTGATCAAATTTTACCCGGACTGCTTTATTTAAGCTTTGAGAAATATTTTTTCATGTATATATTTTCAAATTTTCCGTATATTTTAGATTTCGAACCCAACAACTTTCTCTAAGTTTATATTTAAGTTAAAGAAATCAAATGAAATATTATGTGATTTTTAAAAATTATTTCCTTATTAGAGCATATAAACACACACACAATCACAGGAGACGAGAAGCGCTAGCAACTACCTAGATAAAATGCTTTAGGGCTTTTACAGAAAGAATAAATGTCTTTTGAAATAGAAAAATAAAATGAAGAATCGCAAAGAATAAATTATGGTGAGTAGCGAGACATTTGCTTTAAAGTTTTTAATTAAAAGCTCACAAGAAGAATAACAAATCTTAGTAGCGCTACTAACACGAACCACCGGAAGATGGGCAACCCGCTGCGTTAATGTGTAAGGCCACTGCGGTCACCAGTGGAGTTGAAAATTGCAACTGCAAGTGCAACGCATTTACAATGCATGAGCAATATCTAAAAAATCTTGCTTAGTAGGGTCACTACTCTAGTATGTTTGTATGTAACTATTTATGTAGCTCCAACAACTTTGGACACGATTAAATGACAAATACTTGCCGTTATCTTTTGTGCGGCCGCCGCTCGAGTGGCCACTCACTCATTTACCGCCAAGGAGAGCGCTTGTAAGTAATTACCACGGTTAATTAATTTAATGCTGTCATAATAAATAGTGAGTTACTAGCAAATGGTATGTGCAGCCGCACAGTTTTTATAACAGCAGCAGCAAAAGAAATTAATTAAGTTTGCTTTAAAGTTAATTTTAGCGAACGATTAGTGAGAGGGTGTGAGAAAGCACTGATTTAATTTACGTTTTTAGCGCTGTAAAATGTATTTACACAAATCAAAGGAGACGAAGAACCCTTGCATTTGAGCTCAACTAGCTGGCGTCCGCTCCGAACAAAAGCATTGCGAAAAGAATTAATGAAAGCATAAAATCGTTTTAGCGATAGTGAAAAGCGAAAATATTTGCTTAATTTGCTCAGCAATTGACTTTGGCGCGCTGCTCGCGCTCCGTCGAATGAGCGTGGGTCCTACACAAGTGGCTTCTTAGTGTCATTAGAGTGAAAAAACTTTCTCCACTCTTGTTTAATCACCGACAGGTGGTGAATGCGGAGCCACAACTGCATGCTCTGCAATGCCACGTCACGTCAATCTCCCCCTACCACAGCCCCACCACTAGACCGCTAATTTAGCATTCAAATAGCTGCAACAAATGCTAATGAAAATTACATTTGCAACTGCTGTGATTCGAATAAACTTTTCCATTAAAAACAAGGGAAACATACTTTGGAAATCGAGATAAATTGAATCTGTTTCACAGTTCTCCCGGCAGCGCTTTGCTTACAGTTTTCTTTATGACTTCTTATGTAAATATGTACTTCTATTAATGTGCCACTGCTTGAGTGTCTCGGTGAGTTCTCTTTACCTTCGCTCATCAATTTTGTTCTGCGAATTGTGCTGTCTCTTTAAAAGAGCTTTCCTTTGTCATTCAAATTTAATTTTCACCATCTTCAAAGTTACTTTTGTACATTTTTCAATTACAATTAGTATACAACAAGCTGACTGCGCTAGCTGGCAAAATACAATTTTCTTTTTAAATTGTCCTGATTAAAGTGTTCCATCGATTAGCACGTTATGCGTTTTGATTCAAATTTGGCTCCAGTATAGACGATTACATCTTTATTAGAGATAAATTTTCAGCGGTTTTTCTTTCGTTTGATTGTGAGCTCGAGCGACGTCCAATTTGCTTAGACCTTCCACATACCAAATTATTTATGAACTATAAGGCCAACACGTTCTTTGGATATCTTTAGCGTATTAGTAATCTCGATCAAGCTCATTTTACAGTGATCCAAAAAGAACTTGTTGGTTGTTTACTGTTCAGAATCGGGTTTGCAAATTCATTAGCAGGGTGTTTTCTGTGCTTATATGGCCAGTGTGAATATTAGCGAGATGCTTTCAAAATGGGTCTCTCCCGACCGAGATAACGCTTACCAAAACCTATTTTTGCTATCATCAGGATGTCCTTAATAAACGAAATTTCTCTTTAACCCTTGTTTCCAAAATCAAATGTCCGATAGCTGATAGATATGACTTGTACTTTTATTTTGAGTGTTGGGATTAATTACAAAACATATTAATTCTATTCTAATAAATGTTTCAGATTATTTATTATTATTAAGTAGTAAGTCCTTAGTTTTTTTTTTTTTTTGTACTTCCTCCTTTGGGTTTATCTTTAGCTTTCCATTACATTGAGAGCTTAATCTCAAATTTACTTCTCATAGAATTTCACAAGCTGACAGTCTCAGTTTAATTCAAATATCTCGGCTTTCGTGACACACTTCTTTCTAGTTTATTTTCATGAAATTTGTATCGACGGGTTCAACCAAAGATAAAAAATAGTTTATTAAAATTTTAGTAGTTTCTTATAACCTTCCAATATCCTTAAAGCTTACATTCCTTATGAATAATATAGTTTTTCGAGTTGATAGCTGACCTGTGTTAGAGAATATCGAATGGAACAAACTTTATCTGCTACTCAAAGTGATTGACAACGTTTGCGGTGCAACATTGCGCTCACATATCTCAGAGACATCGGTAGGAAATTTAAAATTAGCGAGCAGAGAGATAGCAAATCGAGGACGGATACTATTTCGCTACCTTTCCTTACATTTAAATTCATTTGGTATATTCCCTAATGAAACTTGAGATATAAATGAATATTTGTAACAAAAACTTTGATGTTCAAAAAGTGTATGATCGAGACTTAATTATTTCAACTCGAAATTCAAATTTTTAAATTTAAATTATTTTATTAATCACAAATTTATTTAATTTTTTATTTTTTGGCTAACGAACGTACATACCATATATTTGAGGACATTCTTCGAAATTTATAAGTTCATCCGACAAATAGTTCGGGAGATATAAGCGTGTTTGTATGAATTCTCTAACTTAGTGTAATCGGTCTCCAAAAGTTTTAACGCGTTTTTCTCAAAATGGTGTTTTCAGAGTCGGTGAAGAATATTTCTCCAAACCGATTGAAGCGTTCGACTTGAAAATTGTACACAACTTTATTAGATATATTTATCAGTAATAATCGGAGGATCAAGGGTATCAAAAATGTTTCAAAATTAATCACAAATTAAATTCTGTAAATGCAAATTTTTATTTATTTATTAAATAAAATGCCACTTCAAAAAACTTCACAAAATACGCATTTTTTCTAATTTGCAAGTGGATAGAACCCCTTGAACCAATATCTCAATTACTGACAATATAATTACGAATATAATATAAGAACTGAACTTTTGTAATTAGAAGCATCTTCTAACTGCCTGAAATATACACGAAAGATACATGAACATATATCCAATACATGCCTTCTCACCACAGGCCACACAGAGACCACAAACGCACATATTTATTATTCTTAATTTCTTTGTGAACTTTGAACACTCGGGTGTTTTTCAATTAGCTCATTGCCAAGTCAAAATGCAATAAGGAAAATTTTTCCGCAATACCTCTGTATACCATTATTGCTTTACTAGCCATTACAATTGCAACAACAACAACAGCAAATCAGGCAAATAGTATTGAAGGTAAAACCTCAAATAGCATTAAATAAAATCTGAAAAAAAACACAAAACAGCAGAGAAGAAATTTACTCAGATAATGCACTTTACTTTTTTCTTCCCATTTTCATTTTATATAACCGGTTGAGGCTGCGCTTGGCTGCGTTGCACCAATGGGAGAATTTCAATTTCAGAATTATTTTTCTTTTGCGTAGAAATTGTGCTGCAAGCCATGCTTGTAATACCTGCGGTGCTGTTACAACCCATCTGGCTGGCGCTGGTATAAAATTCGCAACAATGGACATACGAGACCCGGGTTAGCATAAGTCAGCATAATGAAATTTAGTGTTGAACAGATCTATCTACATATGTGTTTGTTAACACCCACACACACACACACATGCATGAACGGTTCGCTCAGGCAACAAGCCTTACAATTTAGTTCATTTTAGGCTTTTGTGTTTTGCCCCAAAGGTGACTTCATCAACGGAGTTAGTGCGAATGCATCTGTTGGTGGCGCCTCTAAGCCGATTTGCAGTGCATTGTACACGTTGCATCATTGTTTTCACCAAAACAACGACAAAGCTCTTTTTTGACGTCTGCAAATGAGAATTTTTGATTTCCAATGCCACTGCTGCTCCGGTAGCCTCAGTTGGCAGTGGTGCTCCGGTGTCACTGTGTGTTTGTGCGTTGTTATTACGCTTGCACCGTGTATTTGTATTGTTGCATGTCGAAAAAAAAAAAAACTTTATGTAAGCAGATCAAATAACAAAGTGATCAATGCGATGGCTATGTGTTAGCTATAGTTCTCCTTTTACTTAATCGAAGGTGCATCATTACTTTGGAACCAGATTAATAAAGGTTTCAGTTATTATTTTTGACAAGACTCCTTAAAAATAGTGTCAACCTTACTTGAATGAAAAATATACCTGTTCTTTTACTGAATTTAGCAAAACTATTATTTTTGTTTCAGATTTCGCATAACACCCCACTGTGCTGTGCATCGATAATTCAATGTCCGCTGATACTTTGAGTGCAAAAGTATTGTTTTTACAGCCGTAGGATGGACCAGATGCCTCGCCTTGCTGTTAAAGCTTCTCACTCGAACTAGGAAATTTTAAGTGCACAAAAACCACTAATTACTCAATACGCCCTAGCATATGCCTCTAAGCAGATTAAGCAATATGCAGCGCTGGCACAATGCGGCTTTCCCAAGCACAAATGTGAAATTTAATGCATTTCTGAATAAGTAGCAAACAAAAAAAATATAATTTACCGGATTATGGTAAAATGCATTAATAAGATGAAAAATATCGAGTAATATATGATTTTTTATTTATTACTGAAACATAACATTTCAACTCACATACACACATAGGCTAAAAACCAGCGAATCGAAGGTTAATCATTCAAATATTATTGTAATTCACTTGCATCATCAGCTCTTTCTGCGTTTATTTTATTTTATTTTTTTTTTAACAGTTTAAGTCATTGCTTTTCTTTTCAATAACCAATTTTTCATGCAAATACTTCATAGTTTCTTTCAAATTAATATAGAATACAAAACATATATATATAATATTTCAGTCGATGGAAACGTCATATTACAAATTTGTTGGTATCCATGGCAATCTATCTAAAACGAAATGCATGCAGAATTATTTTTCTTTCTTCACCAGTGTATAAACGTATACAAATATTTTGTCATTTTTATCCTGCTTCGAAGGAAATATTTGCACAACATTGGAATTTTATATTATCCTAGTTATGGCTGCTCGTTTGACCGGTAATGCTGGCCGCTCTAAAATTGCTCGTTAACCCAGAAGCAGAGACAAACGCAGTAGAGGAGCATAATCAGGTGTCGAATTTCGTGCTTGACTTGTCTTGTTTCTTATGTGTTGACATTGCAACCAGAATAATGCAGCAATAATGCTATAAATAGAATAAAGAAGAGAAAAATCTTTATAAATTCAGTGATATAGCATGAGATAAATTCTGAAAATATTCACAGCAATATTGGGTAGTCATAATAATGCCTCTTTTTATAAAAGAAGTAGGTGTATTGTTTAATATTTGCTTCAGCTTTTAAATGTAAAATTAAAAATAAAAGTATGGACCAATTTTGTTATATCTTAACTACATTTAATTTTTATATTATTGAATTAAAATGTTTAAGCTGTTTAACGATGTTTAGTTCCATGTCTTTGATATATCACACTTACTACATATACAAATTTTAACTGAATAAAAAAATTAACTGAATTATAAAATTTGTCGAAAATTGTTTTAACTATAAGCCTCCTTAAACCACTTAATTTAGATAGTACAATATATTGTGACAATTCGCAAATTTTATCAATTTTAATTGATAAAATTTTTTTAATCATCCAACTTCCTTCACAACAGCTTCTCTCTGTTAATTTTTAAAATGATAATATCATATTTAAAGCGTGAATATAAGAATTGAGTAATGATAAGCAATTTATCAACAAACTGTAAAAACGCAATTTAAATAATTCTAATTGCCACTACTGGGCAATTAATTGGAAATTTTATATTTTATGCGACAGTACCTCTTTTTTGGACAGGCCAAAAAAGCTTATGGTCACATATTTTTTGTCTTGTATATACAATACGACAATATATTGATGAGATCTGAAAGTGATAAGGTCTGACAAGGCACACACAAAGTATAGACGGAGAATCCTGTAAAGAGTACAACCCGTACTAAAGTATTGGAAAGAAGAGTTTACCTCCACTACAAAAATCTCTATACCATAGATAAAAATTATCATTTTATTTCCTCAGTTTTTTCTGAGGTTAAAAGTAGTGGCTAAAATCTAAACTAAACTGGTCTACATCAAAATCATTTATACAGTTTTATCTCGAAACTTTACAGGTAACAATACTATCTTGACATTGATCAGAAAGTATATGTATATAAAGCCGTGGATCTTCGCAACTACCGCTGGACCGCTCTTGGAGTGCTGACTAGCACACTTCTCTAGCCAACGTTGAGTGGCTCATCGCAGTCGAATAGTTGCAGGTGTAATACTTCTAAATTCAATGCTGGGTAGTAAAAAAATTGGAAAAACTCACACGATAAAATACGTGCACAATTCTCTACTTTTATACCAAATGTATCTAAACTAACGTATCATTACTTCCACGACAATGAACGCCATTACTGAATTAAAAAATATTATATGTTAAAAAAATGTTGGAACTACTCAAAGCAGAAAAGGAATGCCTATACTTATGTATAAATGTAATTTGAAGGGTAAATAAATTAATATTTCTGTTTTGGTAAAAATATTTGAAACTGTTGGCAATTACCCAGACACCTCCACACGTGACGAATTCCCAAAAAGGTTCAACATTAACCCAAATGAGATCCATACAAGAACACTACAGAAAATATAACGAAAAATGGGGCAAGAAATACTCATATACGATGCCTTTAATGTTATTAAAGAATTTTCACGACAAAAACGGAAGCGGCAGAGCGTAAATCCAAATGATAATGATTACAAAGTATGAAGATTGGCTCGGCTTGGCGATTATGCGAGTGAGAGTGCGAGAAGTGACGAAACGAATGGAAGCACTCGATGCCAGATTGGCGATTGAATGGAGCGCTTATTAATATGCTTACGTACACAAGCGCGCATACTGATAATTATATCCTTTAACCGTGTGCAGATGAATTGAAAATTGAAAAATTCTCACGCAATTTTATTACATATACACCAGCTCATTTTTCACTTTGATTTCCTTTTGTGCTGTGCTTTGCACTTTTTGCATTCGCATTTTAATGCCCCGCAGCTTCGTTAGCCTGTCTTTTGTGTGTTCCTTCAACGCGTCTGACAGCCAGCACGACCACATGCACACATACCTTTCAAAGTGTACTTATGCCTGAATGGTTTCATAAACTGCAGTTATAGGTGTGTATGTATGTGTATGTGTGTACAGCGACGCCTCAATAGTTTTCCTTTCATTTCATTCATACGCTGCGCGTAACGGTACAATCCATATTCATTGGAGAAACTACAGCAAAAAAAAATTCTCTAGCGTTGCATACTTTTCAGCGCACCGCTTATAACCTCCTAACACGTACGCACATAACTACATATGTGTGCGTTCAATCATTTGTGGTAGCTTGTAATGGCTTCATGGGTACAAATTCAATCGACGCGGCACACACTTCGGGGCACATATAAAATTGTATTTCAATTTAATTTAATGGCTAATAATGTGGCTGCACTACACACTTGCTGGTTTGCGTGTGTGCAGCTGTGCCAGCGACTTCAGTTACATTCAGTTTTAAGTGCTCAGGTTAACCGAAGCGCACTAAATTGAAAAGCGCAGAAACGCAACGAAAAAGGCTAAAGGGCTGCCATAAAAATTTTCGACAAATTGAATTTAATGTCACCTGGCGTGCAAATGCATAAATGCCTCGTATGGGAACCCGGTGGTGCACCTGCCATTGCAAGGGGCTTAGCGCCACCAGCCCACTCGAAGTGCTCTTATGGGCCTTCCCACTTCGAAATAAATTGAAATGCATGATTGTTGAATTTTTGGCAAACACTGAATGTTATTGTTATCGCCTACCTGCGTGTACTTAGTTTGTATGTGTGTCTGAATATCAATATGAACAATATTTTGAGTCAAATTTTTTTCGAACTAAAATTAGCTTGCCAAATTAGTTATTGAAGAACACTGTCTACATGAATTTCTATATAGAGTTTGTAATCAATGATTTGCATTTTTATTTATAAAACATTATAATTTCTTAGTGTGCCTCCACTGACCATATACAAGTATATTGAGATGTGTAAAATAAAATAATACATAAAGTTAAACCCTCAAAGCTTCCCTTAGCATAACTCCATGCCTCCGATTTTACCATTGATAGCGGCCATAGGCAATGCATTTCAGCTTTATTATGTTAGTTCCAAAATTTTAATTTTAAAATTAAGTGCTTGAACAGAATTTCGAGCTTATGAAGACCACACTGTTGATAAATTTTTCATAACATTTTGCACCATCGCCGCCGCTATTTCAACACTTATACAAATGCTAGATTTCCGTTTATTTATGGTTGCTGTTTTATCCTTATAGTCATTTAATTGATTTACTCTCACAAAACGTAATCTAACCATCCATCACCAAAAGTTTGCTCCAATACAGTACACATATTAAGAGCTGTATCGCCTGTGGGGTAGTTTTCGGTCTTCTGACACCTTTTAGCTTTTAAAATGGTTGATATTGACATGTGAAACCAAAAAATTTCCAATCATTTGGATATATTTGTCTCCATTAAGCGTAATGATGTATGACTCCCAACAAGATTATTTTGTGATTGACTGTAATTGATAATCAATCATAATATCATCCAAGTACACAGTCAGTACAAATACTTATCATAACACAGTAGTGATCATCGTTAATAAAATAATGGAATTTGGCGGTAAAAAAACATACGCAATGATTCCACTGCCTCGATATCTGATATTCTGATTATTGTTCATAGAGAATACGAAGTGATACTGACTTTTTGTCCATTTTTATAACCCTGCCTCGAAAAAATGGGCTCGCACCTCTTCCACGATCCCCACTTATTGGCTTATCTGCAACAAAACACTTTTGCGGCGTTTTAATCTGTTAGCCTAGATGCACGAAATGGAGAATTATCAAATGAATATACCAAAAATTCGACTATTGGTAGACATGGTTTTGTTTTTTGATATAAAAAATCAAAATTTTTGAAATTTTTTATAGATATGATAACAGTTCATTTCATGCGTTTACATGTGTTGAGTTTATCCTATAAATTTCAAGTTATTCGTTCAAGCTCTTTTCGAGATGCGATGGAGGAAAGTTTGAAAACACACATTTTTGGAAAAAACACGTTTGAAGTTTCAAGTCTGAGAACTCAGCGCTTTGAACAGCTCTTTCTTCTATGATGTATCCGTAAGACGCCTTCAATTTTTAAAAAATCGCTTTAATACCGTATTCTATACATATTAAAAAAGACATTTATGGAAAAAAATCGATTTTTTGAGCCCATCACTTGGTATGACCCTTTATTTGAAACACCTTTTCCTCCCAAATAGTTATTGAAATTTATAAATGGCTTTTTCATGTTTTATATGTTATGAAATAACTTTTTTATTATCTTGCAACATGTTGCACAGATTAAAAGTATTCATGATAGATATGGAGTTATAGACCGTTATATGCCCGTCTGTGCAATTATATGATTAAGATATTTTGTCGAAACTTCGTACACTTATTCCTTGGCACTCAAGGAGGGATATTGCAGATGGACGAAATTGGTGCCGTAACTAAACTCCACATTTAGATACAAAACTGTAATTTGTGAGACAGTAGTGAGTAGTAAGACAGCATAGAGTAGTGAGGAACATCATTGGGTCACTCTCTTAATGTTTAATTGTCTATAACTTAGAAACTTGCTGATAAGAAGTCGTTTTAGTACTTCGTATAACAATCTGTTAAATACCACCTAATTCTTACACTTTATAGTATACAAATCAAACATCAAGGAAGTTATGAAATTCGGGGAGAATATT